CATGCCGTATTTATAGTTGATAATGAAAATGCAATGGTTTGTCAGTTCATCCTAAGAGGCTCTGGTTAGAGCCTTATGGAAAATCTCTTTGTTTTTTTTTTTGGGAACATCCGGTGCAATAGATTTTATTTTTTAAGTATTCAAGCATTTTTTTGTTTTCGGTGGTTTCCCAATTGGGTAACCTCGGATGAATTGATTTGTCAACATTTAAGTTTTCGATTGTTGCACTTTTTATTGGAACTCATTGTGCTTACTTATTACTTGCCCTCAAATTTGCACTCCATTCTTTCATATTCTTTATCAGCCACTGTTTTTTAAAATCTTTTGAGTTTGAATTCAAAAGGTAAAACAGGAGACGGTACAGTCTAATCTGCAAACTCCCTTCAAATTGGGGTTGATGCTCTTTCTGTAGATGACAAGTAAGAGGCATGATTATACATTAGGTTGAGAAATTGGATTAAGGCTATTTATGTTTCCAATTGCCATCAATTCATTCAGTTTATCCCTTTCTGTAGCAGCACGTTTCTATGTTTCATGATTGCTAATTAAATAATTCAAGTTTTTCAAATTTCAGGAAACAGTGTTATCTACAAACAATCAGGAGACGCGAGTTCTCCCAATTCGTATAATTAATAATCGGGAATCGGGATATTTCGTTTTACAATTGAATTATGAGTTCTCAGATTGCCATTGGCCCTCTGATGCATTAGAATAGAAGACTAGGAGCGTGCACTACTATTTGAGTTAATCAATTTTTTAAATTTGATTTTAAGTTTTTAATACTTAAAGGACAAAGATTTCCCTTAGGGGTTGAGTTTCGGATTTTCGAATTTTGTTTATTAACAAGAACGATTTAAATATGATTACAATCAAAATTTAACCTTACTTAGCTCAACAGCAATTGCTTAAGTCTCAAGTATCTTTTAATTTAGTTCAAATAATTTTATACAAATATTTCGATAGACGATCGATCTTTATACAACTATCAATTCCCGCATCCACTGCCATTCGGCAGCTAGAATCGTATTTGTCCTTTTGACTCAATTTTACGAGGTTAGTGAGAAACATTTATCCGACGACAGTCACCTTGCTAACATGACAAGTTTTTTTTCTTTATTTTTGGTTTTCTTTAGGACAATTTTTATGAGTAGAACTAAGCCTCATAACTTCCCTTATCAATTTTAAAGCGGAATTTGTTAATTGTTATCCCAAACTTCTAAAGTAAGCAAACCATAATAGTGTAAATTTTGCTTACAAAAACTTTAAAGTTGAACGCATTCAGGATCAAATCCTACCCCCTCCACGTTCGGGATTATCTAAATCCAGATTAGCATTTTGTTCTCCGTAGCAATATCTGAAAAATAATTGTTGTGAATATGAAATTTTACCTGACATTATGTGTGCTAGACCGCCACAGCCCTAGGAGCAAGTATGCAATACGCAGGAATCTGATTACAATAGAAACAACGCTCTAGACAATAGAACATGACACGTCTTATAATTGGTTGCAAATATTTTATTTAGTGAAAACTTTTGTACGTCAGTACACGACCATCATACATTCATTTTAAAGTGGCTGCAAAATCTTTTGTTATTGCTTTTAAAAAATGTGGCTTTAATCAGTAAATATTTGCATATCTATACATCAGAGACTTTGGATATTCTATGCTATTAATATTTTGATTTGGTTTCTCAAGGGATCTACTGGCTATGGGTTATCTGAAGTCAGGCTCAAACATTCATGTTGAAGTAGAAGTGTGCTGGCGAAGTGAAACGGTGGAAATTCAGGAACAAACTAGGTATTAGAGTTCTATGTATAGATAATAAACCTGGAAATCTCATTATATTAAATTAGTATCAATATATTCCTGATAAGTAATTTTTGAAATAGATAGGCTGACAGCCTTAGCTACTCTTTCGATTAGATGACTAAAAGTATCGTTTGAGGAAATTTCTATGGTGCCATCAANATGTGACGTAACCCTCACAACACATCAAGGTTGAATACCAACAATTCAAAATTCTCGAAAACCTTTGTGATGACAAATTGATAATTTTAGTTCCGGGAGTGTTTAGTTCTTTAATTGGATAGATATTACTAGAGGTTTGGAACTATAGGGACATCAGAGAGAAGTGGTTTCTTCTGATCTATAATTAGTTGCAAAAAATTCTGACTACAACATAAGGTTCCGTAATATGTGATCAAAAACCAATGGACGTTGTACGATGTATTCCTTTTAAGGAATGAAGATTTGGAAAAGTATACTAATCTCAAACTTCACCACACGCAAAGCAATGTTAACACAATAGAAATACCTTTGACTTCAAAAATCGCAAGTCCCAAAAATGTCGGTGATATGAACACATAAATATTAAAGAACAGATACTTTCAATCCAATAATCGATTCAATATTACAACAAAAGAGGTATTCAAAAGGGAATAAAAGCGATATGATTAATATATCTAAAAAAAAGTAGCATAAAATTAAGAACAATTCTATTAAAAAAAAAAAATTAAAAAATAAGAAAATATATACCCAATTAATCTAATCCATACGCATTATTAACTCCTTTCCTGTACTCTTAAGAACCTAGAGCATACTTAGATCTAGCTCTCAACTTAGGACCATTCAAGTAAAACAAGACTGGTATGGCCACCATTGCCAGAGTAATGAATCCTAAAACACTCGAACCCCAACCAACTGGGAATTCTTTAGTTGCCAAATTATTATATAATGGTCTACCAAATAATGGGAAACAACCAGCAACAGAGCTTCTAAATAAGTTATTACCAGCAAAGATAGAACCAACATATTGGAAAGAACCAGCAAGAAAACTGTATAAAGTTTGGAAAATCAAGAAACCACCAGCAGAGAAAATGGCAGCACCAATTAAGGGACCAATCCAATGAGTATGGGTAGTAGCGGACCAACCAAAGATAAAAAGACCAACTGGCATACAGATACCTCCAGCAATAGCTAACGGCATGAAAACTTCTGGTTCAACTCCCTTTCCATCAAGAATACGTTGAGTGAAGATCTTTCTGATAATTTTGATATAAATAACAGCAGAAATGCCAATACCAATAACAGTGGAGAAATAAGTACAACCTAATTCAATCAATGTGAAATGACGAGCGCCAACAAAGAAAATTGGATAAACTTCAAAGAACAAATAAAAGATACTGTAGACCAAGGCAAGGTAAATATTAATCATTAAAATGACAGGTTCCATTAAGAAGATTTCAATTGGTCTCCATAAGGTATCCTTCACTATTTCATGAGTAGTTATAGCTTTGTTTTCTAATTCACCTTCAGAAGTAATCCGCTCATTACCAGTAATAGCTCTCAATCTTTTAGCTTTACGGTATAATAAAGTCTTTCCATAAGTTTCAGGTAAGGAAAAGAATAGCATAATGAATGAAAATCCACTCAAGATACACATAAACCAAAAAATCCATCTCCAACTTGCTTTCACAGTCAAGAGTGCACCAAAGAATGGACCGAATGAAGGACCACAAACACAACCAAGAGACCAACAAGCTAAACCAACAGGGATATATGCTGGTTTCAAGACTTCACTGACACTAGCACCACCAGTAGCTAAACATGGAGACGCAAAAAACCCACTCAAGAATCTCAAGACACATAATCCAGCAAAGTTATCAACTAAGGCAATAGGGATTTGTAAAATGACAAACAAAAACAATGTAGGAATATAAATTGAAGTTCTACCAAATGCAGCATTTTCTGAAAATGGGCTAAAAAGTAATGGACCAATAGCATAACCCAATACGAATAAAGTTAATGGCAAAGTAGCAACCGTTGGACCAATATGGAACTCTTCCATAATTTGATCAATACCAGGAGTATATATGGACGAACCTATATACACGGATGTAGTTAAGAATGAAATTTGGAAAATCAAGAGAGCTTTTTGATAAACGGGCCAGTTTTGAGGGTTTTCAGGATCATCATCACCGTCCCATGTAGTTAAGATATTATCATCACCAGTTTTAGTTTCATCAGAAGCAGCAGAAGCGTCTGATGATTGAGCTTGTTCAACTTCTTCCTTATCGAATCCTTCTGGATCGACAGTCTTTTCTTTCTTGTCGTTGCTGTTGTTGTTGTTGTTCGCATTCCTAGGAGATGCTATTGGTTTAATTAGTGTTTCTGCTAAATATTTTTCAGGTACTATATAATCTGGTTGTTCTTCAGGGTATGAGAATAGTTTGTGTTGCGAAAGATGATAAGCCAATCTTCCAAAGAAGCTGTCTCTAACAAACCTGTAAATCATATTTGATTATTTTGTAGTAGTTAATAGTTGAAGACAAGAAAAATACAACAGAATGACAACTGAAAAGATGAAGGAAATCTCATGCCGTATTTATAGTTGATAATGAAAATGCAATGGTTTGTCAGTTCATCCTAAAAGGCTGTTGTTAAAGCCTTACGCTGTTGCTCTTTTGAGAATATCCGGTGTAATGACTTAAAAAATACTCTATATTAAACCGTTTTCTTTCTAGAAATGTTTTCGGTGGTTTCTCAATTACGTAACATCGGATGAAATTGATTTGTCAACATTTAAGTTTTCGATTGTTGCAGTTTTTATTGGAACTCATTGTGCTGACTTATTACTTATCCTCAAACAATCTTTCCGTTCATCAGCCACTGTTTTTTTAAAAGCTTTTGAACTTGATGTCAAAAAGTAAATCAGGAGACGGTACAGTCTGATCCGCAAACCCCCTTCAAATCGGGGTTGTTTCTCTTCCTGTAGATAACAAGTTAGAGGCATTCTTACTACTTTAGGTTAAATAATAAGAAATTGAATTAAGGTTATTATGTTTCCTATTCCCATCAGGTCATTCAGTTTACTCCGTTCTGTAGCAACATGTAACTATGTTTCATGATTACTAATTAAATATTTCAAGTATTTTGTATTTCAGCAAACATATTATCTACAAATAATCACGAGAGACGATTTTTTCCCAATTTGTATAATTAATAAGTCGGGGTATTTCGTTTTACCATTGAATTGTGAGGTCTCAGTTTTTCATTGACCCCCTGATGCATTGGAATAGGAGATTAGGAGAGCTAACAAATATTAGAGTTAAAAAATTTGGATTTTAAGCTTTTTAATAACAGGACACAGATTTCCCTTAGGGGTTAAGTTTTGGATTTTAGAATTTTGTTTATTAACAAGAACGATTTAAATATGATTACAACCACAGATTAACTCAGCTTAGTTGAACGGCAGGGACTCAAGTGTCAAATATCTTTTAATTTAGTTTAAATACTTTTATATAAATATTACGATTGATCGTCCGTTTAATTCAACTTTTCCACTGCTATTCGGTATCTAGAATCGTATTTTATACTTTTGACACAATTTTACGAAGATAGTGCGAAACATTTATCCGACGACAGTCACCGTGCTAACATGACACAAGTTTTTCTTTCTTTATTTTTGTATTCTTCTGGATGTAACTAAACCTCATAACTTCCTTTATAAACTGTAAACTGAAATTTGGATAATTGTCATTCCAATTAAAACCTCTAAGGCAAGCAATCCACAATAATGATAATTTTGCTTACAAGAACTTATAAAGTTGACCATATTCCGAATCAAATCCCGCCCCACATCAACCAAAAAAAAATATATTATTTTCTCGAAAGCAATACTTGAAAAATAATTGTTGTGGATATGAAATATCACCTGACATTATGTGAGCCAAAGCCGCCACAGCCCGAGGTACAATATACATGTATATATTGCTCTAAGTTTGTCGATTTTGTTTTATTGATCCTTAGAGGATTAATACAGACAATATGCAGTCCGCAGGAATCGGATTACAACAGAAACTATTGGTATTTCTTCTTTTTTTCCAACAATGTATTAACTATTTACCATACTACTAATAAGATAAGATAAAAATTTATACATAAGTTAATAGAGAATTATAACTCTATTCATTTGAATCAATAAAATTTCTTCTTCTGTGTTAGGGCTAGGGATTGAGTCGTCACATAATTTGAAAATGAATAATTTTATGCCTCTTGGAGCTAATATACATGATATCTAGTTCTTTCAAGCGAAAACTGTTTTCCTAGATATGCCATTAGGACTCTACTAACTCCTTCTCTTCTCTATCTTTTTAGTAATCAATTTTCTAAATCATAAGGATCTATACTATTTGAGTCAATACTTACATTGTATGGTGGTGAATTTATATATATACAAGCTAAAGTGGCCGCCTAAAAGGCGGCCCACCGCTCACTGTTGAGTGAAAGAAAAAATTTAATAAGAACAAATGAATTAATACACAATAAATAACTAATAT